ATCCACTTTTTTTTTTTTTGAGACAAGGTCTCGCTGTGTGACCTAGGCTGGCCTAGAACTTGCAGTGATCCTCCTGCCTCAGCCTCCTGGAGTGCTGGGATTACAGGCATGAGCCACCTTATTTATTCTATTCTCCTAAGCACCCGATGGCAAGCTATACTAAATAAGATATGTACTCTTTCAGAGAGGATTTCTGAAAAGTATCTTGAAATAATTGAGGAAAACAAATGTTCCTTACCCTCAAGAGTTATCTTCTAGTTTTCGGGGTAAAATCGCTCCTTAGTTTGGCACAGGGTTGGCTGGTGCCTCCCTCCAGCCTCCCCTCCTGCCGCTCCTACTATCCCCATTTTATCCAGCTATACTGGAGAACTGGCTGCTCCTGGAGGGAGATCTGTTTCAGTGTAGCAACCTCCATATATGCGTTTCCCTTTTCTTGGAACATTTTGGCCCTAGCGAATTTATCTCACCAAATACAGCTTAACGATGATACATTGTTTAAAGATGGCATAAGCCACTGTGTTTCCTGTCAATATCTGCAATATTATCTTCCTTTTCAAGGGTGCCACAGCAGTGAGTTACACACCAGCCTCCCCCTCGGTCCTGAGGTCATCAGAGTCTCTCAGCGCTGGCTGTGCAGTGAAGCATATTGCGTAAGCATAAAGGCTTCTTTAGAACCCAGTCCAGTTCCCCTCTGCCAGAGATAACATGCTGACTTTATTAATGACCTGTAAACAGATTAGCAGAGGAGGGCCCTGGTCTACAATGTGATAAATAGGACCTTGAGTAGCCAGTTTAACTTCTCGAGGCCCCTTTTTCTACATCTGCAAAGTGAGGATGTCAGAGAGAGGCTCCCCATGTCTCTCTCCGGTTTCAGGGATGCTTGTTTAGCTCCAAGTTGCATTTTTCTGATTTCTTATGGCATTCAAATGCAAAATGATAAGAAAAAAATTAATTTCTAGAGGAATTTAATTTTACTTAGTATACTGTCATTTAAAATATTTAGATAGGACTGGGGATTTAGCTCAGTGGTTTCACCGCCTGCTGCGCAAGCGCAAGGACCTGAGTTTAATCGCTGATAACAAATAAAATAAAATAAAATACTTAGATAATACTGATAAATAGATGTCTATCTCCCTCATTTTTTTTTTTTTTT